GAACTGATGAGCAGAGGGGACTTCAATCTCTGTCGGTTGGGAAGTCGACCGGCGAAGCATGTAGAGTTCTACAAGATACAGTACATGAGCGCGTCGTCAAGTCGCAGGGAAGTCACCAACTGCCCAAGATGTACTGTAGATCATTTACATGCCCCCCTTGTGGTCCGATCCGATCGCACTTTTCAGGTGGAGGGCACCACAAAGAGGTGCGACTGGAGCCGCAGCCAGATCAGGAACGGCATTTGCTGTGCAGGTGATAGTTTTTTGGCTGTTTGGCTTGGTGTTTGGTGCTCAATGGCCGGTATCTTGCAAAAGTTGGTGCAGATCAATTTGGACATGCTTCAACCAAACTGGAAGATGATCGAAGTCCGTTTTATAAAAGCAATTCCTAGGTCCTAGGCATACTTGCAACAAGAATGGAGTGCTTCACTTCTGGGTTGCTTCACTTCCACTAGCTGTCACTAGAGCTCCCTGTGCTTCGGCCCGGGCTTCTGCTCACGGGCAGCTTAACACGTTGAGCTGCAGGAGCTGAATGTGTTGCACCTTTTGCCCGAGAAGCCCACGCGCCTCTTGGCCAAGACGTCTGAGTCGCCTCTTGGCCAAGCGACTTAGACGTGGCATTCACTTGCCTAATAGGCATGAGCCCACATAGACTTCAGAGTGCGCACGATAAGGGTCCTAGCATTCAAGAAGGAGTCTAGAAATGTCTAGAGTTTATAGAGTCTAAATCAAAAACTGAAATTGATGAGCACAAACTTTTTGGTCAAGGATCTCTCCCTGGTGGAGTTTCAATTGTCGAACTTCTATCCACCTGTCTCCCGAACTGAGTCCTCTCCTCTTCCACCCCGGGCAGCGCGAGCTTTCTGGGGCAACTCACCGGCCGTCGTTGTCCAATCCGACCGTTGATGCCTCGGCTCTAATGACCTAAGGCTCTCCAACATGGAATGGGTTCGATGGTTGCGATTTGGTCCTAGAAGGACGTGTCCTAGAAGATCATGTCACTATGTCCTGAAGATTGAAGCATCCTATGGTAGGTACAGGTAAAGAGCTAATCACGAAGCAATGGAAGATGGATCCTCTCTTTAGACTGAACATTTTTTTACTCAACGGAGTCATGTTCCATCCGCAAGGAGTGCACCAAGTGTACCTGTGCCTTTGATTTGTTGCATCCTGTAGATGCAGAACATGTAGTAACAGTGACAAGACAGTTACATTTCCAGAACCTTCAAAGCACCCTTTTGAGATCCCAGAATGGGGTCATTGAGTCCCTAAAGAGGTCACTTAGAGACTCCATTTGGAGGTCACGTACTGAAGGTTCTGGTTCTTCATCTATTTGGTGCAGCGTCCTTCACCCACCAGTTCCACCCACCAATGTTCCCCCCAAAATGCCCACCACTCGCTGGGTGGAAGAACCGATGCTTCGATGTACCGGTTCGACCCTGGACGAACCGACGGACGGACTACTCGCTCAGGTCGCCTGGGTCATCGGGATGACTCCTTCCAAACGATTCCGAATCAATCAGAAGGTGCACCGAGTTTGGAAGCACGTGGCGCCAACAAACATCACGTCCCTGTTGGGAGCCACGTGATGTTTGTTTGTTTTTCTTTCCTCCTCTATAGGTGGGGACAAGAGGAGTTTTGTGGGGGGAGACTGTGTGGAGGTGTCAACCTCATGGACAGCACCTGGATCAGTAAGTCATCAGTCATGAAGATTGATGAAGTATGGTCGGGCTCAGCTTTCTTCTTCATTTGCAGACAAGAGATGAGACATGTTCTTCATGTCCTTACCGGTCCACCATCATTTGCTCCAGTCAGGCTCCCTAAACCCTCAATCCTCCCATCCAACACCATCTTCTTGCCAACTTGTCCCATTTCTTCCAAAGCATCGCAGAACGGTGGCCCCGGTCGTCAGACCACCGGTGCCCCGGTCCGTTCGCCAGGCAACTTGCTCGCGCTCGCCGAGTCGGACTCGGACGTGGGCGGCACCAGTCCGCGGCGCCAGTCGCGGGGTTCGGGTTTGCGCGGACGGAGGGGTGAAAGACCGGGCGGCCCGGCTCGACGTTTTCAGGTCATGTGGAGGTATGTATGTACCACCCTCCAAGAGGTGTCTATAGGTGTCTGTAAATAGCCTCTTATATGGTTAAGAGGTGTCCAAAAACCACCTGTTGGAAGGCCATTATGGCAATGTGACATTCCGTATATGCATGGAGTGGTTGGTGATGGTCCCCATTCACCACCTCGACTGTGGGGCAATTTCTTTGACCTTAGCCCGTGTACTGCCTTATATGGTACACCAAAACCAAAGCATCCCCAGGATACTCAACCCCATGCTTCTGTGAGTTTCATCGTGGATGATCGTGGCTGCACCCGGCGCCGAGGCAAATCCAAGGCGTGGAAAGCCGGGCATGACAAGCAAAGAGGAAGGAGAGGAATCGTTCCCATTCCCAGCGTTTAGAGGACCATGGGCGGATGAGACGAGGCTCCACTTTGGCTCCAGGGTTTACTGCACATGTTCTACATTCATGGATTTTTTCGCCTCCAAGGGGATGAGTTCATGGAATCTTTGCAAGGCAAGAAGGAACAACAGGTGTTCAAGTTCCAGCAAACGGGTTTTGTGGAAGGGGAGCATGTTCTTTGTGAAATGGGTCAATTATGGTCAATTGTTGACGCTCCTCCATCATTTGTGTTGCAAGATGAGGATCCATGAGAATCATGAGATAGACACGACATGAGGTGAATTGCACAGTTCCAATTGCCTTCATAAATCAGAACCATGGGCCATGTTTGATGTGCGTTGTTGTTGCCCGCTCGCGTTACGGAGCGCCACCTGCCGGCGCCACCTCTCGCCTATCTCGCGCGCCAGCCGCCGATCTCGCCGAGCAAAGTGATGGACCGCTCGAGCCCCATCAGCCCTTCTTCGGAGCGCGGAACGCCCAGAAATGTGTGGAGGTGCTCAGCCTGCTTGTGCTAGGTGTCTTGTTGTGTCTTACGGTGTCAGCCGATGTGTGTTGTAATATTCTTGTGGTTAAATCCTGTTAAGTCGTTCTGGTGAATCGGTGCATGTGTGATTTTCTCCGGTTCGCTTGAAGCAAGTCCAAGTGCTTGGGCGTGTCAGCGAACTTGTGCAGCGGATCAGGTCTCAGGTCTCAGGCCTTCGTTTGGGAGGGCCCCCCCCCACGTGATGCACGTGTGGCTGCATGCCTTTGGAGGTGGAGGTGGAGATAGGGAGGTTTCTTTGGGAGAAGAGTTGCATCCAAGCTTTCGTAAAGCGTTGAACTTGAAAGTGCTTCATGGCTACTGATGACTTCAAACCAGTACGGAATTGCAAGTGTCAAGGGCCAGTGGAACCTGTGGAAGCACCCTGAGCCAAAGCGGTACATTGTGATTGCTTTTGATGCCCACCTTTCGCGAGTGGTTTGTATGCTTGGTGGGACATGCAGACTCTCAGCCAATGGTCTAAGTGTGTGCGATAAGATTGTTCAAGACGGTTCAATCTGATCAGAGACTCAACATGTAATGCTTACAGTCTGCATGTCATGTCATGTTTTACATGTCATAAGATGGTTCAAGATAGTTATGGATTATCAGGTTTTTGCTTTACAGTCCACAACATGTCATGCTTTGCTCCCAGAACCCGCCTTGCTTCTTCTTTCGGCGCCGGCATCGACTCACCGAGGCTTGGGAGATTCGACCTGCGCCGCTTTCACCAACGCGCGGAGTCCCGCTTTCCGTCCGTGAAACGGGTGGCATGGTGGGAGGGGTGGCGTGTGGCAGTGGAACACTCGGGAGTGGCAAGGAGTGAAGCCAATTTTTGGAAATGAGGCATGGCGTGGCAACGGGTGGAGCGGCTGAACTCCGATGGACTTTGCTGGACTCAAGTGCCAAGAGTTCATGTGAGTTCGTTCCAGTTCGTTCCATGCTGACCAAGAATCCTCGCCCTGATAAGCAGATTGCATTGGCCGTGCGCTCTATTCTGGCTTTGCTTAGGGATGATCAATGATGACGCTGATTGTTATTGTATAAATACAATTAAATATTGCTAAAAACTATTATATAGTACGTGTTTCCCTGTCAGTAAGTAAATCCTCTTCTGGCAGAAGCTATTAATATTGTCCCCGGTTCCTTCATATCCAAGCTATACACGGGCACCCAACAAACACAGCGCCATTCAAACACGCCCGTTGCTGCCACGGCGCTGATCTTGCCGAGGTATTGGAGTTGTTCTCATCGGGCGAGCTGGTCCTGGGGTAAACAATGTGATCCAAGGCCTCTTCGACTACCTCCAGGCGCCAGGAACCCGCGAACAGCGCGGATGGATGCCGGTGGGCCGCAAACAGAAACGGGGGGCGTTGATGGAGTGATGGAGTGAGGGGTCAAATGTCGCGGCGGCTCTAAGTTCCTGACATATTCTGATGAGACTTCCAAATATGTTTTCTTTGTTTCTTTGTGCTGGCAGGTATATATGCAGTTGAGATGGTTTGAGGAGTCAATGGGTGTACAGGATTGTGGGGCTGGGAATGTGTTTCGCAAGACTGACCTTCTCAAGGCTCACGGGGCGATATGTTCGTCGAGGTTCCTTTCGCGTTTCTGGTCAACGTTTCGTGTCCGAACCGGCCAACGTCGTACGTGGTCAGGTTTGTGGTCCGACTCACTGGATCACAGTTGGGGCATGTTGGTGAGTAGTTGGCTAGATCGGCTAGATGTGGTTGTTTTGCCAAGCACAGTGGCCGTCAGGCTTATCGGGCCCACCGCTGTGACCTGGTGTTCGCTGTTGTTGATTAATCGGCAGAGTACGTCTCGGCAGTGCAACTACCTGCGATGGTCGGCAGTGCGGCAGTGGAACAATTTCTTGAACATAAAGATCTTAAAGCGAAGCACAAGTTGGTTGGGAAGTTTTCTCTCAAACCACTCAGTTGGTTTCGACCTCTTCACATTTTGCTTAGAGAATCCAACACCGTTGTTTTTCTCTCATCCTCTTGAATATCACGCACACGGAGCTTATGCCTACTCACCAGGGACCGAATTCCGCCGGATCTCCACAGGTTTGGGAAGGCAAGGTGGTGTGCATCGCCATGGGAGTTGCCGGCTTGATCCACAACTACTCCTTTGAGCTCACCGAGGAGGGCACATCTTTTGGAGGGATGACCGGCATGACGGCAGTGACTGCACCTCAACCTCTTCTTCTTTCTTTTCCATGTTCAGTTTCCGTGATCTGTGAGCAATCTTTTTTGGGGGGGTTCGTTTCAGGAAATCATGGAAATCTCACAGCCTCGATAGCTATGGATAGCTATGGATAGCTCACTTATCCCATACCATTTTGGGACTCTTGGATGGGGACGGTGACGGCACCGGATTTTCGGGCTGCATGCGCCGTCTCAGGAGCTTCTGGCACCTCACCGCAACCAAGGAGGTGAGACATGGACAGAACCTTTTCCTCGGTCCAGTCCAAGGTCTTTGTATTGTTCTGCTTAGTTGATATATGGAGAAACAACCTTGCTATATAGCTAGACCAAAAGGCTAGCTGGACCTGCAAGACGTATAAGTTAATAGTTCTTAGTTGATGTTGTCTTCTGTTCTTCGGGGGCTCCTTTGAGAATTGAGAACAAGGGCGGTAGACACGACAGGCCAAGTTGTTAGGTGTTGGGTTATGGGCGGGAGTGGTTGTTTTTGTGTGTGGGTCTTCATCACGTATAGTGAATGTCAGTAGATCCAGTGGATCCTGGATCAAGTATGTGCAGGGCAGAAGGTGCCTTTGTAGATGAGCTCACATGACCTGTTTAGAGTCAACCTTGTCCGACAAACAGTGCAGACAAGACATAGAATCGAATAGATGAGCACGTTCCCTTCCAGTGTCCAAAGGGTATGTCGTGGAAGATCTAAAATCAGGACTGTCTCAGCTCACTGCTCACTGCGCGCGAATCCCATTACGTATATATAATATTTTGCATTGAATGACAACCTGGTGAAACTCTTCCTCCAGTGAACTATGTTCTAGCACCTTGCTACTAGTAGCTTCTTGCTACTAGTAGTAATGCCCTTGCTACTAGTAGTAATGCCCTTGTGACTAGTAGCGATGCCCTTGTTACTAGTAGCAAGGCAAGAAGCTACTTGCCTAAAGACTCCAAATGTCTCCTGAGAGTAGTTGGAGCCTCCAGTGAGCCATCCGGTCAACCTTCAAAAGCGACCTGTGCGACGTGTGCGACCCGCGCGCGGACGTCGCGGGTTCCACGGTTCCAGAGGATTTCACCCCAAAGGGAACCCAGCGAAGCATGCGCCCGCCATGTGCCCGGAACTGTGCAGGGTGCGATTTGTTGGGGCAAAGCCAGCCAGAGGACAGAAATGGACAGAAGACCCTGCCGAAGTCTCGTGCAGCAAAACGGATCAATTGAAGTCAGTCTCCAGATGTCTCCAGTATTCAAATGGAATTTATGAAACAGAGCAACTCGTTCTGTCCACTTTACTAATTTTCTTTGGCAGACCTTCCTACACAGCAAGTGTGGAAAAAGCCTCATTATGACCAGAGCTGCAGTCAGAGGTCAAATCAACATAATGTTTGGAATCTACGCCTACATTGACCTCTTCTCAACCACCCAATTGTAGGTACAACATATATTTTATTAACATGTATCATGTATGCCAGTCTCATGTAGGTAACATACATATATATATATATGAACATGTATGCCAGTCCCATGGTCATTCTTGGATAATACATGGCGGTCTGGCGGTCTGGTTTGAAATGTTTCGTTGCTTAAGCTCCAAGCTTGCCAGCGCAGGACATTCCAAAGCTGGGCAATGACATGCCGGGCACTTGGGCCATTTGTGAGTAGAGACTCGCTCCCTTATAGACTTGCTGAATTTGGTCCAAAGTGCTGGTTTGCCGAGCTTGCAATTTAAAGTGTAGAAGATTGTAGAAGCACGTAGAAGCATATACTCAGCGTCCCTATCCAGATCTTGCACCATTTGATAGGAGGGGAATGCCCCCGCAAAAAAAGAACCTTTGTTTGCCTTTGTTTTGCACCAAAAGATGAACCTCATAAACCCCGCATGTCCTAGATCCCAACGGAGCAACTGTTGTGGCGGTGTCCTTTGATCTATTAGCTGCAGCTGCCAAGTGACAACGCCAAGTTGATTCAATTTGATATTCTCAACATCCCAGCCATTCCCTGCCCAGTTCCATGTTCAGAACTGGGAGGTGGAACCCCGAAAGTTCTGCAGTAGGACGCTGGCACACATCAGGGTTCGAACATCATCGCCGCTGCGTGGTTGGCGTCCCGAAAAAGCACCACACCTCGTGTGAGGCGTTCCATCTCCCACACTGTGACCCGTTTGAAGTTGGATGGCTTGGTGGTTTGGGGAGGCGCTATCTCTTCGCAACCCGAGCGTCAAGTGTACCGCGGTGCCACGAAGATTTGTATGGCCTGAGCATCTGTGTTTTGGTCCAATGTGCCTGATAATTTGCCAGGTGTTTGATTTCAGGAGATGTCCATTCTTCATCTATAAAGCCACTAAAAAACTGTGTGGTGTTGAGTGTACTTTCTTGCACTTGTTTGCCCAGTCGTCCTTCAACACCGTTCCCAGACCAGATATTATTTGTGAGCGTTTATGAGCCCTGTAGGTGCTATCGTTTGCCAGTGAAATTTGGCTTGTTTGCTCATTTCCTGCCTTTGACCTAAACAGAGCCGCTTAGTCTCAAGCTGCGCACCCTTTGGCACAGTACCATGTTTCAAAAACTCTGGCTTTTGGTCCTCACTGCCACGGCAGCGGGCGCAGCGGGCTTCGATCAGTGGGATGTCGTGCGAGCTGTTCTGAAGGCATACTTTCCCATCCCTGTTGCTTGGCGAAGGCTTTGAGTAAAGCTCCATGCTCGGCTGGGCCCAACAGTTGGGGAAAAGAAGATTGAGCGACCGTGAGTGACAGGTATACTGTAGTTCTTTTTGATCAATGCAAAGCACCAAAATACATAAAACATCATAAAACACATCAAAACATGTTTTCAAAAGAACAGTTGGACTGTATTGGAACAGGCTCCTCCCAGGGTGATTTTTGTCCTTTGAGCGACACAGCCTGGAGAAGTTGTTTCCCCTTTGGCCCCTGGAGCTTTCTGTGTGCATCCTGGAGTGACTGTTTGGGTTCGGGGGTTCCATTCCAATTTCAGTTTCCACCTGGTGTATGACTTGTATTCATATTCTAGTGACTAGTGGACCAGTGCCATGATGTGTGCTCCATGTTTCTCCAGTCGTGTGCTCCATGTTTCTCCAGTACAGTTTGTTGGGATGCTCCTTATGTGGAGGGGTGACCAACCGCTTAGGACATGACCTTCACTGCAGGGACGGCGAAAGGCCGCCAGTTTGTTTTCGAGCCCTGGGCTTTCACAGAGCTCGGTGTGAAGTCGGAGTCGGCACTTGGTCGGGTCATGCGTTCGCCGAAACGGGGCTTGTAGCTGGCAAGGCTGGTAACACCTGAAAGAGCCAAGCACCTCGACCTTGCAACCGAAAGAGGCCTGTTCTTCCACCGTCCTAATGTATACACTAGTGGACCAAAACAGTGCAAAGGGTATGATTACTTCCACCGTACCATTTGGCCTTGTTGGTGCGGTCGAATAGCTTCATTTCGTCCGTCCATTTCGTGGCACGTAGATCGGCGTCCTTTGTCCCCTCGGCTCCTATACACTTGACCCTCAAACCACTGCATGTTTGATTTCTAAACCTGTAAGCTATGATCCAGCTTGGCTTGGCACGATCCATGGCACTTGCTCCTTTGGGAGCAAATATGGGCAAAAGTAAGGAACTGTGTTGGGGGTTTTATTAGAATTCAATTAGTTTCAATGTTGCACGCGTTTGGGCAGGGTTCTCCTCTTTTGCATCAGCCGCAAGTGCTGAAGCTCCGTTTGCTTGATTTGCCGTCAAGTGCTGAGCATGCTGAGCAAAGCCACTTCAAGCCCCAAAAACTTGTGGAAACTATATAACTCACCACGGAAGAGCTGGTTCCCCACTGGTCGCACAGGAAGACCCCGTATGCTGAAGCCAACGCTTTGTCCTGGGCCGCCCTGGGTGGGTTGGGACCATTCTACTCAGTGAGTTGGTAAAGTTTGGAATCTAACCCAAATACTCCATGGGACTGCCATATTGGCGGATCAGTTGGGGTGGTTTGGGGGGTCAATAGGGCGGCATATATTCCATACATTGGAGTGTGTGGGTCTTATATATTTATTTTAAATTTGACCTTCCTGGAACTGGGCAGGAAAAGCATGTCTTTCTGTAAAGGGAACCTGACGACAGTTCACGGTGAGCCCCACCCGTCTCAGGAGAAGGGCCAGACCACGATGACGACGCCGCTGGCGATGGCTTCCTCCAGCAAGTTCCCTGTGGCCATCGCCATTGCTGGAGCGGCCCCTGGGTCATCCTATAGGTCCTGGGAGAATTGACTGAGTGGCTGAGGTGTCTTCAGAAGGAGAGCACCAGGCAAGGGGCACCAATATGGGTCCAATAGAAATTTAAACACATGCACTTCTTGGTTTGTTTACACAGTGGGGAGCGGGTGTGAGTGAGAGAGAGAGAGAGAGAGAGAAAAGATAGAAGAAAGAACTACCCGCAATCAAAGCGCCGGCCAACCCTGCATAGAATCTGCAGAAGTCAGCAGTTTCAGGAGCTGGCTTTTGTTTTTGGGTCCACAGGGTCAAAGTTCGGTTGCAAACAGTGGACATCTTGCCAATGGCACATTGACAGGCTTCAGATGGCCCTCCTTAGGGGCAAGAGCAGAAATGACTTCCCCACGTGTTCTAGCAGTTTCTTGGGTCGATTTCTATGTGCTAACAGACCGACGAACTGCCTGCCCAGGTGAAAGATGGATATCTCACCTTCGACACCAAAGCACATGAAGCCACCCGGTCGGCAGATCTCACTGCGGTTCTTTGCTTTGCCCGGTCGGCGAGCGGACGCAACGTCCGTTTCCGCGGTTTCTTGAGGAAAGGTTTTCGTCCTGCGCTGTTGTTGTTCCATGCACTCATGCGCTTGGCGTCCTCTCATGTTGGAAACTTGATATTAATTAACAGCATTCGACTTGCCATAGCCGCAGCATGCCGCAGCCTACAGCCATGTTGGGGGGGAAGTTCGTTCAGAAACACAGGCAGCAAACCATCAAGCCAATTGTTTCACAGGGCTTTCACAGCCCAGGCTGCTTGCATTGTGAGATCTCATTTGTGCTTATGCATGCATATATATGTATATTATATATATACTGCTACTTATAAACTTGTTCTTTGTAGGGCGGGGTCTCAGAACATGGCCCGTTTGTTTGAAGGGGGATTGCGTTTTGAACCGTTCGTTGTTTCTGACTGTTCGACGGCCGTGACCACTTTGGTTTGCAGAGTTCCCAAAAGCAGCTTCCAAGGGGTCACGATGACAATGAATAAGTAAAATCTGTCATTTGATTCAACTTCTCCCTGATGGACTTGTGTTTATTCAGCTATACTAAGAGACCGGACTATACATAAGTGGAAAAGAAGAAGAAGAAGAAGAAGACACACTCCGTAACCCTCCAGCAGCTGCCACAACCTGCACAGTGTTTCAGAAACTACCAGGTGACTCGAACCAACGCTCCCACAGCAGGTTGAATTTGCGGACTTGCAGACCTCTTCAAGACACTCTTCCAGCTCACCCCGCATCGGCACCGAGGTGTGGCCTTGGTGGAGCACCGACCCTTCGGAGCCTCGGAGCCGGGTGACGCTGCGACATTTGTTGCGCCTTGGCACCGATCGGAGCGGCGCCCGGTTTCCCCGGAGGTCGAGAGACGAGAGACGGGAGCGGAGGTCTCGAGTGTGGCGTCGACTGGGCCGAGACGTCGTAAGAAAGTGAGGTTGGCTGGATACTGAGATAGATCGACAACCTTTGTCACAAAGGGGTGGTGTTTAGTAAGTGTTTAAGTTTAATGGGCACCCCTAACCTCCATGGATAGCAGCACCTTGGCATGAAGCTGCTGGTAGCGGGGGCTTCATTCCACATGAGTTGCTGCATGCTGTATGTGTGTGTGTGTGTTCGTGCCATGCCAGCTCTTGCATTGTATAGAAACTATAGTGGCCCTTCATTTTGGCATAGTAGTTGCACAGTTGCCAGCTGGCATGGTGGCATTACGTGCGCCTTCGACGACGAAGTATGCCTTCGACAACGTTGATCCTCAGGTCTTCTCACAAGTACCCCAACTGAAGGGCCATTTGTCCATTTGATTTTATGGATCGCCCCTATGGCCACCCAGGTCCTTTACCAGTGGCTTCTACTGGCCAGATGCCAGTGGTTATGTACCCTGCTTGGGCGCTGCCAATGCCTCAAGCTACAGCGCAGAGGAATGTGCGAAGGATTCTTGTTCTCCACTGTCGGTGGGACAAAAAACAATGCTTTCATAGTCTACTGCCTATTCTTGCAACATTCTTGGTGGTGTTGTAGTGTTCAGGGCTCCTGTTCACCCGGCCGCCTGTTTGGGACCTATACCGGTGGGTGCATGGAAGGGATAGGTGTCACCAACTCGGATCCATAGAGTCGAAACTCCGTGCTCGCTCAGGAGATCTACCAGCAAGCACCTTTCGCAGCTTGGACTGAGCAAAAGAGCGACAGGGCTGCCTACAAGCATTGTATTTAACATTTCCCATTCACTTGGAGTGCCTATTAGATATTTTCCTGAATAGAGGAACAACAGGTTCGGTGTGCTGAGGTTTGCTGCTTGTAATTGTTGCCAATTGATACCTGTTCGATTTGCATTTTCATGCATTTTTTGCATGTCGCCGTGCCCCTGCACGAATGCCGTATGTAAAGCAGTCCCGTCCAAGCTGAAGGTTCTGGATTTATTTGGTTTGTTTTTTTTCAGACCCCACAGCTATAGCACTGGTGGCGACCCAGCCAAAGGATCTCACCACAGTAAAGAAGTAGGGTGTGGCCCAGTACTAGGAACAGTCGGTAGAAGATTATCACTCTTTTTGAGAAAGTCCTTTACCAACCGCTACTAACCATCAGCATCCACTGAAGCCTGGTAATGGGACATATACCCAAGAAAGAAGTACCTTCCGCGGCAGCACCGGGTCCAGGAGTTTGAGCCCGGAAGCACCTGGTCCTACAACTCCTTCCATTTACAAGTGGCCGGTGCCATGGCAGCCACTCGAGCCAAGCTGTCGACTCAGCAGTTGCTTCAGAAATACCTCATCCATCCCCTGAGCCTTGCCGGTTGGGTTCGGATCGGAGCCGGTGGCATTCCGAAGAGGGCAAGAAGTCGGAGCTCCTTCTGTCAGGATCATGCAGTGACAGTTAACATGTTAACAACACCATCTACCATCTATTCTTAGCGATCTAAGTCGAAACGATACCTGAGACATGTTAAACATTGTGAAATCATAATCATGTTATAATACTATTTAACATGATTTAAGATGGTAATTATTCGGTAATTAACCTCTTTGTCTTCGTCTCCCCCTTGTGGATTTGTTCCGCCTGCATGATCGAACGGAAGCGCAAGAACTCCCGGAACGCCACCCGGGTTATCTTTGCAGTTTGGGTATTGGTTATAGGGGCTGATTCCGTGGCATGTGTTCCGAAACGTTTTTGTTGGCACTTGTTGCTCTTTAATTGCATTCACCAGGCCAAAGGAAACCAAAGGAAGCTTGGGTGAGAAGATCTTTTTGAATCCTATCTTCACATCTACTGCATTCACTGCAAAAGAAGCATGTTCACTCACTCTCTTTTTTGCTTTGAAATGCCTTGATAAGTGCAGTGCCTTAAAGATTATCCCTTCGTTTACCCCGCACCAGTTCTATGGAATCGGTTTCCTTTCCATCCAGTCAATTGGTTCTAAAAGGGGCTCCGACCACCCGCAGAACATCCAGTCAACAGGGGCCGATTCATTCCCGATTCCATTTCTTCCGAGCGAACTCTTCTGTATATGATACTTATAGTTTGTATAAAATGACGAAGGTCGTTCTATATCCAAGAGGCGGTCCCAAACAAAAAACCACACCCAGGAACTTGAAGAACACCTCGTGGATGGGTGGCGAGAACCCTGGCCTCGCGGGCAATATGATGACGACACCAGAGGACTATGACAGCATCCTGCGTCGCGGGGATCGGAAGAAGACGGGACTGGCTGCAGAAGACGGTTCACATGACTGGCAAGCGTGGAGTGTTGGGGAACCATCATGACTGGGCATTTGGTTTACTAAGGGAACAGGGTGTTGATTCAATTCAAGCACCTGGTGTCTCAAAGTACCTCGGAAGATGGGTACAAGTACCTGTTTTCATGGGGTCATGTCCCATTTTCTAAGGTACTTTGGAGGGTCCAGGTAGTTATATGTTGTTCGGTTCTTTTTGAGCATTACCAAGCTGAGGCGCCTACGTGGGGAACGAGCTTCTTCCACCATGGGTCTCCTTTGAAATGGAGCGAGACTACTTGGCACCAGACGTGCAGGTCTCGAACGCCAGCACCTTCTTAGCGGCTTGGATTGGTCAAAGCCATGGGCCATGGCCAGCAGGATTCCCCGCGGAGTGAGCTACGACAGAAAGGGGAAACATAGTGAGCCTACCGCAATGGTTTTCTCATGTGTTTTCGATCATCACCATGTAACGCTCGAATCTTGGGGCGACTTTCAAGGTGACACTCCTTGGGCACTACTCCTTCTGCAACTATTTCGAGTGCTTCCCCCCCAAAGAGCGCCAAGTTCACGCCGGAATGCAAGAAGGTGGGTGGATCGCGAGACGCGATGGATCGGAAGGGGAGCCAGCCATCTCCTCAAGGTGAAAGGCAGCACAGGCTTATGCAAGGTTCTCGTGATATGTTGATTTGATGTACGTGGGTGCTTGCCCTCTTGTATTGTGAAACTGGACTTAATTGAGCACGTAGGTCAGCAGATGACTGTGCAAGAAATCTGGACTTTCAAGCTATAGTAGCAAGATTGGAGCTTGCTCAAAGATGCATTCCTGGGTGCTCATGCCCTGCCCGCTCTATCATTCGGGGGGGTAGGTTGAGATATGATTGAGATATGAACGATTTGAGTTTAGACTCGTGAAACAGCTTAGAGTCTAGAGTCAACGGATATCCCTCGCCGTTTTTTGCACATGCCTAAGGTTCAAGACCTTGTCGCAGATGAAAGACACAACGGACAAAGTGATCAATTCTCATCTCAGCTAATGTTTTTGGCAGATCCATTTAGTCCAAAAGTCAACATGGACGTTGTGCAGGCCAACATCCACATGGACGCTGGGCTTTTTGGGTACTATCCCTTGGTGGATCGGGCCAAGGGGATGTACATGCAGATCGCCACTGCTGCCTGGAGGGAAGTCTTTCCTGTGAAGCCATAGGGCTGTGCTGCTTGAACATGGAGGCGAAAAAGCCATCCAGACTTAAAAACTTAGCTCCGTTGTTCTATAGGTCCCTGACAGATGACTTAGGTCCGGTGTTTTTGGCACGAACACCCATTCGATCCCGCGGAATCGGCGTTTGGGATCACTGAGGCTCGGGTGCCTCACTCCCAAAAAGACTTCTATGCTCCCACCATCGTCGCCCGGCGAGGAGATGGGATGAAAAAGGAAAGACCTGGATCTCAGAGGAGTACCGTGAGGCTGAGTACCCCCCCAAATATGGAATAGCAAATAGAGTCTACATTTTTTGGTATTGATGTGCTGTATATATATACACCTTAGAGGACACCCCCAGGCATATTATGAACAAGCTGCAGAGCATCTTTTGGATGATATCGTTTGGCAGTATCTTAGCTGGACTTGAACCATTTGAGATCCCTTTTTGGAGGATGGCAAGTTCCCACGCTCCATCACTTGCCCTTACTGAATGGTGGGGAAGGGACAGGTTGACAGGTTGGTCTCAAACCGCTCCGCTTCGTGAGGCCTCGATGGTCTTGCGCAAGATGACCAAGTTCCATGGCCTGCTAAGCTAGCTAATCCACCACACACTAGTTTGGGGCAGAGCAATGCATCACTTGCTTTAACTAAACATATATGTAAGTAAACTGAAAATGATCTCGCCAGACGGAGACTGTGGCAGTGAACTTGTGATGCCTCTTTTCAGCCAGTGCTGGACTCCGAGCCTTGCGGATGTATGAATTTCATCCACTGGACTCCACCACCGGATGTTACACAAGACTCATGTGCCCAAATCCATCAGATAAAAACACATCCATGTGCACATCCTGAATGAGCAAATAAATGGTGACCAGCAAAGTGTTCAATGCATCAAAAGGTTTCACCACCTTCCAGACCTGCTCCCCCCCAAGAAAATCACGAAACACGATATACGAGAGGAACTGTCACTCGCGCTATTGGTATGGCTCGGTCACCGAGGTTCCTGGTGGATGGCGCCCTGGGTGTGGAATCGACTGAGACCGCCGAAGCTGCGGACGTGGCGTGGCGGATGTGAGAGTGTTTCACAGCGGGCGTTAACCCTCCGCCCTGTGTGGAGGGTTTGGGGCAGGTCTTTATAGTCTTTGGGTGGTCCAAATCACAATATTCTTTGGACACATTCTGCATTCATATGCTGCCATTTCCCATGCTACAAATATTGGTTTGGTTGAACTGCGTTCGGCGTCAGTCGGCGCCGAAATCCGTGCTCTTTCAGCCCAACGGTGTGTGTGGTGGCGCGTCGTGGTGCCACTCGGGCGCCTGAGGCATGGCAGGTGACCTCTGAGTTGCTGCAGCAGTTGGAGTTAAAGGCGAATGCTTTTGGGAGGGCTCATGGAGGTCTGGGGAGGGCCCTTTCGGGACAGTCTTGGGAGCATGGACTCTGGACCAGTTGGGACTATAGGTGCCCAAGGTGGAAGAAGATGAAGACACCTTGTGATTGAACAGGTCGATGGTTCCACCACAAGGTTGATGATTCCACCAAACCCACTTCGTTCAATTTTCTCCATCCTCGGCTCCATGGCAGGAGCATTGGCAAAGCCCAGAGGAACTCTGGGCCGTGCTCGCTGCGCCAGAGGAGGTTCTGGTGTAGCTCTTGTGGCTTCGTGGTCACGCCTGCGGGTTTTGGCCCGGGCCAATGTGGCCGGAAAGCACGCCGCACAGATGGCGCGGGAGATGGTGCACACAGAAAGTTGCCGAAGAACACCAAGGATCATGGGAGCTTTGTTCTTCAGCCTTTAAATGCGTAAGTCAAACTGTGCCATTGAAAAGTTGTTGCAAGGAAATTAAGCGGGAATTACTCCATGCGGCAGTTGGTTGTTTGAACCATCCCGAGGCCGCGCTGTTTAGAAACCGCCAGATGGCCCCTCCCTGAGTCAGCCGCGTGGGCTGCTCAGGCCGTGAGGGGCCATGGCAGGAGCACAAGTCTCCGATTTGAGGATCACAAGCGGTACAGGCAAAGAACCAAAAGTGCATCGGTCAGCAAGTGTGGGTTGGAGTTCTGGGGACCAAACCCCTGTATAGTTGAAGAGATGTAGGCGCTGTCGATATGGGATCGCAAGGGGAGCTGTTTTTGCAGGTGGCCTTTTTTTGCTGTTACCATGCTCATGTCATGTGCAAGTACTTTAAGAAACATCAATATCCTGCGTACCTGGGCCAAACAAGACTCATAACTTATACTGGTTGAGCGATCCAACATCCAGTGAAAACTGGACGGTGACACCCTGATCCCACCTCCAACTCTGCCATGGTTCTCCTCGCTTGCTTGCTATGTTTACTCTACTTGTCGCCGTGAACCAGCTGCCTGTTGCCATTGGTATGGCCGAGTCTGGCTGTTCAGACCGCCCATCGACCCTGGACCGAACTCACTACGCCGGCCGTTCCACCTGCCAGGCCGTAATGTGCACAGCTGGACTGCTCGCTTGTCAGAATACTTTGTGGAGCACAAGGCGTCCAACGTGGCAACAACGGAGGATGAAGCTGCACATGGACGGTGGAAAGCATTTGTTGGAGAGATTATTCACCCAAACCAAACACATGAATTGGTTCCTTTTGATTTCAAGGTCCGTTTTTTGAATTTGCTTTTTGGAGGACCTTCGGTTCATGTAAGTACTGCACCGGGCCACTGGCTTGGATGATGACAAATTTGGACTTGGCCCGGAACTACAGACATGCCTGGATCAAGTCCGGAGACGATTTGTTCTCCGACTGAAGCAAAGGAAAGTCCTTGACTCGGGTCACCTAAAGACATCTAATGTAGACTCTTGATTAATACCCCCCCCCTTTGAAGAGGATGTTCAGTTCAATTGGGGGGTATATTAATCAAGAGCCTACAAAGACCATTCTTTTTAATAGTCTTTGACTCCCCTCGGGACATCTGTGACTCCCAGTGTAGTGATCGGTCCGATCGCCGGTTGCACGGAGTGATCGCCTCTCGACTCGTTAGTCGATCGGCGCAGTCCCAACCGATGCGAGAGTGGCGTGGCGCCCCGACCGACGGGCGAAGACCAGGTGAAGACCTGTGTGATCGCCATCCCTGCGAGCAGAGCACTCAGATGAAGAAACTGGAGTTGCTGGGACCTTGGACTGGGATAACAACGGCACTGGCTTAGAACTCATACCAAATCTACAGATCTTTACAGTGGCTGTTTGTGGCTGTCGGCTTTTTGTTGCGGCTGTCGTGTGCTGCGTTTCGGTTGTGGGTTGGTGTTGTTTTGATGGCGCTTTTCATCCTAGAGAATCCAAACAAAACAATGTGTCAATACGATAGATGATCATCCCCCAGCCCGATTGCAGGCTCAACCTTTGCGCAACCCCCCTTGAGAGGATAAAGCTCACAACCAGGGATGTCCGATGTGGTTACCTTCAGCCAGGTGTTCAATCGGATTTGCCACTCATGGAGCAGTCCGTTGCCTCAGTTTTTTGCAGCCGGGCTTTCTGTAATTCATGGCCAGTGAACGCAAAAGAAGAGCTCACAGATAGGCGACCCACGAAGAGATCGAGAAACTCTTTAATTTAGACAGCTGCTTGGTTCTGACGGATACCTATCCTTTGAGAATTGTTTTGGTAATCTAATTCGTCCGTTTCAGACCTTTGAACCAGCATAAACGCTTGGCTGCCCTTTGTGGCAACATATATATGGCACCGGTGCCTTGCACCGGTAGGCACACAGACCGGTCGCTCATCTCCTCGTCGCTCGGGACGTTGGGATCCTTGGACGAGGACCCTTGGCTATGATACAGCCTGCAAGCTCTACTCCTCCATCGTGGGCAATCTCTCCATTCAGGCCAGCCACGTGGGTTTACGATGGGACTGGGCCTGGGGATGGCGGCAAAGCTGGGCACCTGGCACGATTTGACTGGGAATGGGATGAGCCCCTAGTCTTCACATCCTAAAGGCATGAATTTATAAACGTGTGCAGTGTGTTTTATTATATATGTTTTGGTGCAGCCCTTGCCATGAGGTGTCAAAACGGATCTTGGTCTTGAAGACGTTCTTAGTGTTGTTTATATAATCGATGGCGAGTGTTACACTTTCCAACACCTGTTTAAAAGTGGTTCCTGGTTTCTTGTTTTTTATGTTCACGGTCTATCGATTGTTCATGTCGGAACTGTGTTGGCCTTGATCTCCTGTCCAACCCCCGTTCCCGGTTCTCATGTTGAAAAGCTAAAGTTTAGCGCTGTCTACATGCTTTGTCTCAGTGGGGGGGCAGTTGCTACTTTTGCAAGCGACAAGGGGCTATGCACATGTGAACCCTGAGAATTGCTCACACCCCATGGCAAAGCCCAATGGCAATGTCTCCAGCCAAGGCGGCCTCTGCCGGGATGATTTGGTGCTTCGTCCGAATCCCTGGGCGTTCGATCTCACACATCGCAGCGGAGGCGGGGTGCCGACGGTTCGTGTCATCCGGGCCTTTGACGTTGGGGTGAAACAGGGCGAAACCGATACAGAGGGCGGAATGGACGGGGGGAGTGGGTGGGCCGCACTTTGGTTCATGCCAAGCTAGCTGTTGCTCAGAAAGGAGCTAGGGAGCCGTGGGCATCCCAGTATCCATATTCCCCAATATAACCGGAAGCCGTTCGGAGGTACAGGGAGTTCCTCAGCCCCTTCCTAGCGACCCCTTGTTCACCTATAAGTTAAATGTCACCCTTGTTCTTATGATTTCTTATATACTGTATTGAAATCTACATATAGTCGATCAACGTCATGCTATGACAGGTTCACCTTCTCAAACTCTTTTTTTTTCATGTTACCCAGCCATGACACAAATGATATGTCCAATACTCAAAGCCTTCCGCCGGATCCGACCCAACCAACTGGCCCGATGGTCACACCGCCACTGGCCTACCGCCGCACAGGTGGCCTTAATGACTCACCCCCACGTTGTGTTGATGCCGTCGCCCCAGCAAAAATCAGAACACCGGGGCGGAAGTTAGTGACGTTTGACGTTCATTGAAGTCTTGGTACCTGGTATTTTGCATATGGATCAGGACAACACAAACCGGGTGACTGGCATTTTGTACTGGTTGAATTGCTTTGCCCCAGTGACTGGTTGAAGTTCTAAGGGAGTATATAGTTGTTCCAACTTGAAACTGAGCCTTGCAGCTGGCTGTTCGACAGATTTGAGCTGATTCATTGGATGGGCTCCAGTGCTAGTAACAGAGTTGTTTTGTAAATCTTTGCCGCCTGGGTTACGAAGCATGTCGCGTGCTGCTCCACAGTTTGGGCACGTTCAGATGCAGGCCCTTTTCTTTTTGCTGCTCTTGGCAGGTCACGATTGTGTCCGCGTGGTCGACGAAGTGAAATGGTCACAGTCAAAATGGGACCAGCTACATGAAGATTGCCATTGGTCCAAAATGGAGCAGCGTTGCCATGGTGAGGGATGTGTGTGGAAACGCTTGCCCTTGGACTTGACAATCTCCTCCAGCTGCCGCCACACTGACGCATACCTGTTGAAGCACAACGGTCTGGAGAACTTTCACTCCATCATGGAGCTTTTGAAGGTTTGAAGGAAAAGAGTGACAAGTATGCTGAGTCCTGCCAAGGGGCACGTTGGTGGAACCCTGGGATTGGCTTGCAGCCACATTTAGCCTTTTTCCCAGAAGTGCCCCTAGAGTTGATTCCATAATTCCCTGCCAAAAATACATAGAATAGAAGCTGGCCGACAACAGCTGGCAAACAAGAATTATGTTCTAATTAGCTTCCTTTCAAGGCTTCCATGGCTGTTAAGAAAAGCGGTCATGATGCCGGGAGTAGCGTCGTCAGTAGCAATACATTCAATTCTTCGGTCGTGGGGCTGCACTTCTAGGGAAACCTTCACAGTTCAGGAACACATGCCCTCTCCAACCCTTGAGGTTGCTGCGTTGGATTTGCTAAGGTCCCCCTATTGTGAGACACTCTATCATACTCATTTCCCATGGTCGAATATGTGCAATCACCTCGAACATTGCCCCCCTTCAGTATAAATGGTCACACCGACATTCAGATGCAATTCAACATATATGTTTGTTTAACCCATCCCGGAAGAGTCCTCAGTCAGTGCCAGGAACCGAAAATGCAAGCGTGGTGAAGCACAAATCTTCGATGCTGTCAAGTTCTTGGCAAGGGCGCCAGTGGATAAGAACTTCATGTCCCAGTTGGAAAAAGATGAACAAGCAGCCGTGCGCGACTTTTTGCCCGTTGGTGGGAGGGGGAGGTTGAATTTATGTCAACCTTCAGTTGAGTTTAATGGGGTCGCTGGCAAACAATATGTGGGGAGAGATACCAAAGGAGGACATGTGTCATGTATGTTATACTGAGTATACTATACTGTATATGTTTTTTGGTGCGGCCACGGGCGCCTCACATGAGGCGACGCATTGGCACAGACTTTGAAAAGTCTAGCTTTTTCAGAGGAGGAGAGCCAGCTGATCGAGGAGCTTTTCAGGAAGATGAAAGGTCACGGGCCAGAGCTCTTGCAAGATCCACAAGGGACGTCGGCGAAGGTCATGGAGTTGCTTTTAAGACTCTTACAGGGCTCGCCTGAAGAGTAGCTCGGAAATATCTCAACAAAATGTTTCATATTGGACCGAGCTTGGCACCCGTGCCAACACAAGTTAATATAACCACCTTCCACCGATTCCACGAATAAGCGCAACATACAAGCGTGCCCTCGCTATCCCTTGCTTAAGTGTGTCCAACCTGGACAAGGAACAGGGGATCTCCGAAGATCAGGGATCCCAGTCTTGAAACCGACCGTTCATGTGTTTTTTTTTCAAGTCGATAGACGTTACAAGTGGTGTGCATTCTGTGTGTCTTTTTCGGGTGCTGCTTTGAGGAAAGAAGCCGCCAAAGAAGAAATTTTGGCAATGCCTGAGACGGTTCCAGCACTCTCAAGTGAAGAGGAGTCCAAGGCTAGCAAGAAACTTGAAGAACTGGAAAAGGAGTTCGAGGAACATCGTGGCTTCTTGGTGGAGATTCAGAGTGGATTGTTTTAATCAATGTATATATGTATATATAATATATATTTATCAGTATAATATATCATGAATTATCATAATTTACGCTGTACGGCCTTTGTACGAAGTGTTTACCAGAACCGGACGACCGCGCATTTGATGTTTATTTGCCTGTGTTGTTCACCTGGAATCCCAGGAGAGATTGAATTGGCCTTGGATGAGGTGGAGACAAAGACCAACGAGGCTGTCGAAGAGGAGGCAGATGATGAACATGATACCGGCGGCTCTGCTTTGCAGGTCACTCCCGACGACTCTGATGAATATAGAATACAACCCAACAGCCCACTCTGGAACGTCATCATGGCCTCGCTGCTGACCTGTACTGTCATGGGCGTTCTTGTCACTACCTTGACACTTGGAGCGTACATTGTGGGGTTGTTCGTGACCTACGGACTTTTGGGTGCGATGTTCTGCGCTTTGGATGCTGACCAGGCCTTCATGAAATGCATGAATCACCTGGCGGCGCCCTTCAAAGCGGTCAAGTACATTGCCAAGGGCCTTTGGCGCATGGTGCGTGGGAAGAAGGACCCCAGCGCGCCCTTGCCCGCACCGGTGTCTGAGAAGACGGGCGTTGACCATGTAGACTCTAAGGCGCCATCGTCATGAAGTTGGAAGAGCTGACTTCTTCAACTGCGCAGCGGCTGTGAATAAAATGAGGTACTGCAGAGTTGATCAGAAAGTGACCTTTTGGATCCTGTTTGGTGAGTCAAGATCCTGGCAGCAAGTTACTGGCAGCAGTTAGCACGGCAAGATTCGGTTGGTCATGAAATGTCATGAATCAAGAAGTTAGAGTTCATGCCATCGTACCCGATATCACCCTGTCAGGGTGTTGTTTTTTTGCTTTTTTAATTTCTAGGCTACATGTACAGGTTTTGGTTGAAGTTTATCACTGATTTAAAAAGAGCTTTGCCTTGCTTATCATCATCCATACTCAATCACAGCGCAACAAAAATTGCCATCCGGGATGCCCCAGAAGTATTCCGATGAGTGCCAGAAAGCTGAAAACTATTGTCCACATCCAATGGCTTTCCACACCCTTCCACTACCTTCCCTTCCTTGAGAGCAAGAGCAACATGTGACACACAGCACCCGTCCAAATGCATCCAAATGCCAGGGCTGGCTTTGCCAGGGGAGTGGGAAATTACGGGGGGCAAGCCCGAACTCCACGCTTCGGAGACCCACATCCTTGATAAACAGGTTGCCTGCCGCGTCACCTAACCAAGAAAATGTACCAAACATATGTCCAGGACTGTCTATCTGTAAAGTGCCAAGCGATCGAGCCCCAAAGGGATCCGAGCTCAAAATGCAATCGAGAGAGAGAGAGAGAACGTGTTTGCCCTTTCGTGCAATCCGACCAGCACAATCCTTAAAACTTTAGACTGGACCCTGATTAGGGAGCATCAAACCATGTACACCGCAAAGCTGTTAGAAGTGGCAAATCCACTGCAACTGATTTGTGTGCATGTTACTGATGAAGCTGGAAATCAGAGACTGAAATTGTGACTTTATATATTGCTCTTACTCTTACCTACTCTTAGGCAACTGAGGCAACCATAATACAAAGCCCGTGTGAACTACTCGACATTCACGGAAACTCAATGGGTGCCATGCAAAACTCAATGGGTGCCATGCCAAACAACTCCATGAAGCAAGCTAAGGCACCTTGGCAAGCTAAGAAGCCATACAATGTTTATAGGGATGTGCCTGGCTTCAGCCGAGCTGAAGAGCAAATCATGCGATGAAGAAGGATCTGGGAATGTTCCATTTTCACGAGGGCCCTAACATGGCTTCAGTGACAAAGTATCGTAGAAACATGACATGCAAGTGAAGTTTCAACTAAAGAAGCAGGAGCCTATTGAAGATGCAAAAAGAGAAAACAACAAACGGTGCAATTTGTGAAGAATACATATCATATTATCATATTGTTGTTATTTGTACAACATGTTGCTTGAACTTCAGCAATCATGTATGCCGCATGCCTGCCTCGAACCTCCCTTTCAAACATTCTGAATACGGGCCGTTTGCTTGGGCAGAAAGCCTGCTTCACACTTGACAACTGTGCCTTGTGGCTGCTTCTCTTTTGGCCAACCTCTGCCGGAGTCTAGGGAGAGACTTATTTCCAAGGAAGAGTTGGACTTTTTGGTGTTTCGAACGTGGGCTTGCAAGACAGGATAAGACAGGAACACAATAGACCTAGCAGATCCTAGCAGCAGGAAGAACGCAGGCTGAGATTCAGTCAGATCAATATGGAAGATCAGTAGATCAGTCCAACAGCAAAGTCATCCCAAACCAGAAGTCCAACATAAGAAAAAGATACATGCCTACATGTGCTTATGTGCTTGTCACATGTCCTTGTCAGACATGCCCGGTGTCACTCCTTTGGGTCCTGAGGTCAGCCGACACTGGCAATGAACAACTGGGCTTAACCGATGTCACGCAGATGATTTGCAACGCAGCTTGGCGTTGCAACAAGTCGCCCAGCTTCGGGCGACGTCCCGCCTCGGGGAAGAAGTGGGGGGGCCCATGTGGAGCGCCAAGGTGATTTTTGTGGTGAAAAAGGAAGACAAAGGCTATATAAACAAGATGGAGCCCACGAACCCGAATGCAAACACATACGTCAAACCACTGTGTACAAAAAGAGACACAGCTGGTCAGAATCTCTTTTTCACTCTCTGACACGCTGTTGGACATCATGCGCTGGGGACTCCACCACCAAGGCAGCATGCGCTGGGGACTTCACCACCAAGCTCTGTCTTCATCATGAAGGATCTTTGTTTTGCATTCAAATCAAGCATTGGCGTAAAGGTTCTGGCAGATCCACAGCACGAAAGAAACAATGGCATTGTCCCAAAATCTCGAAAATAAGCACTTGAAAATGATAACCGTCCACATAATACAGAGAAATCCACAACTGCGGCGTCTGATCTTCTTGCAAATAGGAGTGCAAGACCGTGCGTTGTTGTGTTTCACCTGCATCAACAAGAAGTATATGAGACACACACAACGGAAGTGAGTAAAAAATCCTATAGGCCATGTCATTAGTCCAACATTGGCATCGGTCCCGTATGTGTGTGCACACTCTTGTGAGACACTCTTGTGGGACACTGTTGCGGGACACTCTTGTGGGACACTCTTGTGGCACACTCTTACGTGCCACTCTTGTAGGACACTCTTGTGGGACACTCTTGTAGGACACTCTTGTGGGACACTCTTACGCGACACTCTTGTAGCACACTCTTGTAGGACACTCTTGTGGGACACATTTGTGAGACACTCTTGTGGGACACTCTTGTGGGACACTCTTGTGGGACACTCATATGGGACACTCTTGTGGGGCACTCTTGTAGGACACTCTTGTGGGACACTTTTGTGGGACACTCTTGCGGGACACTCTTGTAGGAAACTCTTGTGGGACACTCTAAAAGGACACTCTTGTAGGACACTCTTGTGGGACACTCTTGTGGGACACTCTTGTAGGAAACTCTTGTGGGACACTCTAAAAGGACACTGTTGTGGGACACTCTTGTGGGACACTCTTGTAGGAAACTCTTGTCGGATATTCTTGTAGGACACTCTTGTGGGACACTCTTGTAGGACACTCTTATGGGACACTCCGGTAGGACACTCTTGTGGGACACTCTTGTGGGACTCTTGTGGGACACTCTTGTAGGACACTCTTGTGGGACGCTGTTGCGGGACACTCTTGTGGGCCACTCTTAAGGGACACTCTTGTGAGACACTCTTGTGTGACACTGTTGCGGGACACTCTTGTGGGACACTCTTGTGGGACACTCATACGGGACACTCTGGTGGGACACTCTTGTGGGACACTCTTGTAGGACACTCTTGTGGGACA